AGCAGCTCACCAAGGAAAATTTAATGAATAGATTACCGGGTCATGAATTAGTGAATGTGTATGGATTATTTTTTAGAGAATAAGAATATTGTTTAGGGTCACTTTAAATATTTTACAAAATATAAATCAAACCAGTGGATAACTACGTGTTCAAATATATCTCCAGAGAGTACTCTAAATTTCAATAGCTAAAATTTTAAATGCACAAATCTTCAGAAAAAAAATATATACTAAAGAGGTCACCATCACATTAAACCATTGCAGGTTGATAAATCATGCTTTTTAAAGTGGTTGTAAAAGGAACATTTTTTATTTTTAAAGAACGTCTATACTTGCTCGCTCCGTGCATCAAAATTGCAGATAGTGGCCCTGAAACGTCCTCTTCTCATGTCCCCAGCTGGCACACCTGGATCCTCCTCTCTGGCCAGTGCCCGCAATAGGAAGCCGCTTCCCATGGAGGTACCCGTGCAGGCTCGCTCTGGAGCCCTGCTGCTGCATCCATTGACACAGACAGCGGAACTCGGCCTCCTCCCCCCCCCCCCCCCCCACACACTCCCTTGTCAAGGGCTTTGATTGACAGCAGTGGGAGCCAATACCAAAGCCTGTGAGATCCGGAAGTGAGGGGACAGAAGAGCTGCATACGTGCAGAGGGCTGGATCGAATGAGGGCTCAGGTAAGTATAAGGGGTGTGAGGGGCAATACCAATCCTAAACATTTTTTACCTCAATGCAAGGAATGTAGTACGGTAGATAATGTTTAGGCTCCAGAAGCACTTTAAGCTGGCCATACCCATATAGAAGAAAAATATTTTTGAAATATATTTTAAAAATATTCTTCCCAGATATATATACACACATACTGCATGTTGAAATGAGTTATTACAAAATATATGAAAAATATTTTTTTAAAATACATTTCAAATATACTGTATGTCTTTAAAAATACAAACCTACATTTTTGGAATGCTTTTATAAATTTTTGTAAAAATATATATTAAAATGACTTTATATGTTAAAAAAAATCAGAATAGATTTAAAAAATATATATATTTTTAAAAATATATTTTTTAAAAATATATTCTGCAGATTTTTTTTTAACATATAAAAAAGTAATTTTAACATATATGTTTACATATATTTGTAAATGCATTCCAAAGATGTAGATTTGTTTTTTTAAAGGCATACAGTATATTTGAAATGTAGTTTTAAAATATTTTTCATATACTTTGTAATAAAACGCATTTCAATATGCAGTAAATATATATATATATCTTAATGAAATATATTGAATATGGCTAAAATTGTAGCATTTCAAATATATGGCAATATATTTGGGAAGAATATTTTTAAAATATATTTCAAATATTATTTTCTTCCATGTGGGTATACAGTATGCTGCAATAGCTGCAGGGGGTATCTTTTTCTTTTTTTAAAACAAAATTATATCTATGGCGTTACGAAGACCACCATGTGAGTGTTCCATTAAAACCATTACAAAAAAAACTCCGACACTGTAGAATACATGGTAAGAAAATGACCTTGATCAAATTTCTTTTGGGTCTCTGACATTAAGAACGAACAGGGCAATCATTTTGATCTGCCAAGGAGGCATTCTGTTCAACGCTAGATACATATGCAGGTGGCTAAATTAGACATAAATCCTGACAGCTAACACTTATATGAGTAGTAGGACAGGCTACTGCATACCCAGAGTAATAGAATTAAAATGGGAAACTGATCTATGGGTAGATGATTCCAGACATCTGCTACGAGCTCCAGGCAGCAACTCACAGTGTGATGTCAATGTGCACATCAGGATGAAAATTCCTATATTCTGCCAGCGTTAAGTTAGCAACAAGCCAGCCCAAGGCCAGGGTGAGGTCAGCCCACAGCTCAGACAAACTCCAGAACATTATGACTTTGTATGTAATTAACTTCTCCTTTATCTAGCGGTCAGGAGAACTCAAAAAGCCTCTATCCTATTTGTCTGACAAGCTATGGCATATTAGTGAAAGAAACACATTACCATAGGTAATGTAACCAGGAAAGAGTACTACAACTGCACTGAAGAAAATAAATCCTAGTTAAAGAAAACAATGGGGCTTTTAAAGGTACCACACCATTATGGGTATAAAAGATGCATAATCATAAATAATATTGGATAAAATAGAGCATATTTTATGACATAAAAAAAAAACAAAACACAGAGTGGTAAGCAAGACAAATGCCAATGTAGGCACATATATAATGAGTCAACAAAAATATAAAGAGATAATAGTGGGCAAAGCCTCTGGCTCGGGACGTGAGAATGTCACGGGCAAGAGTCCTAAAACCCTATTGATACCATCAAAAGAATTGATCATCATCAAACTGATGAAACAATTACAGACATGAAAGGTATGAAAAATGTTGATAATTAGTGGAAATATCTAAATTCATATAGACTATCCAAATGATGGACCATTGGGTGTAATTTGAGAAGGGTGGCAATTCCATTAGAAACCAAAAATGGTTTTCCATAAAATTGAATCCAAAACTGGATAATCAATCAAAAGATCTGATGCGTTTCGTGGGATGTGACCCACTTCTTCAAGGAAAGTGGAAAAACTGAGCAATAATGCCGGTCGATGATAGCACTCTGTTCAATAGCAGCACTTGATGTACATGAAGATCAGAAGTGATTGGATACACAAAAGGAAAGGGAGATTTTCTGAGCACCGGGGAGGAAGCCACCTAGACTACACCTAGGCATCTGTTTGGACAAATTTTGCCCTTTTTTTGTCTGCTTTTAACCTCCTTAACATTTCGGCCTCTTCACTGCTCAGGAGCAACCAAGACGGGTGTTTATTCACCAACCTATAACAGTTGGTCGCTATACTTTTTTCATCTGGAACGAACAACGGCTTGGCGTTTGCTACCCAATTTGATCTGAGGTATTCTCGGACTGGTGGCTTCCTCCTGGTGCTCAGAAAATCTCCCTTTGTGTATCCAATCACTACTGATCTTCATGTACATCAGGTGCTGCTATTGAACAGAGTGCTATCATCGACTGGCATTGTTACTCAGTTTTTCCACTTTCCCTGAAGAAGTGGGTCACATCCCACGAAACGCATCGGATCTTTTGATTGATTATCCAGTTTTGGATTAAATTTTATGGAAAAGCATTTTTGGGTTCTAGTGGAATTGCCACCCTTCTCAAATTACATCCAATGATCAATCATTTGGGTAGTCTATATGAATTTAGATATTTCCACAAATTACTAACATTTTCAAACCTTTCATGTCTGTAATTGTTTCACCAGTTTGATGATGATCAATTCTTTTGATGGTATCAATAGGGTTTTAGGACTCCTGCCCGAGACGTTCTCACGTCCCGAGCCAGAGTCTTTGCCCACTATTATCGCTTTATATTTTTGTTGACTCATTATGTATGTGCCTACATTGGTGTTTATCTTGCTTACCACTCTGTGTGTTTTTTTTTTATAATGTCATAATAAAACATGCTCTATTTTATCCAATATTGTTTATCATTATGTATCTTTTATACCCATAATGGTATGGTACCTTAAAAGCCCCATTGTTTTCTCCTAAAAGGGTTTATTTGCTTCATTGTTCCAATATGGGTGTGGTACCTGTAAACCCTTCACACAAGGGCTGGTGAGACCTAATATCTCTCTAGCTCCCATCAATCTCCAATCTAATACTACCACTGAACAATAACTCTAATGAACGAAAAGTACATTGAACATTTTATTCTGTAGGATCTTCACAAGTGAGATGATTTTATAGGATCACCTTAAAAAGAGATGATTCTGTAGGATCATCAAATATAATACAGCTCAAAGTCAATTCCCTCTCCATGATATTTATGGGTACCTCTAAAACTTTAGTAAGAAGAAATGGTAAACCGTGATGTAATGTATGGTTATAACAAACCTAAGAGACTACATGGATAAAACTAAAGGGTTTTTTATATCAATCTGCTTCATTATTTATTAAGATTGACAGTAACTATGAGATGTTTCTCAATTAAGTTTTAAGGACCCATTCAAATCTCTCAGGTGCAGGGCGTTACCTGCAATGCAAATTGCACTGCCATTCATTTTCAATAGTAATAAGAACCTCGGATATGTGTGTTGCAACTATTGTGTGTTCTGGTGCATTTAGTCTGTTTTACTGCATTGGCAGCATTAACACAATGCATCGGGCAAGTCAGACTAATTGGTCCCTAAGCTCTTCTCCATCTAGCCATTGATCATTATAGTTTAACCCCTTGAATACAAAAGATTAAAGCAAACTTGGTATTCCTCAAGGGGGCCCGGGATTGCTGTAAATGTCTACAGTGATAGCAGGAGGTGATTGGGGAACATTTCTTCCCGGTCCCCCCTACAACTAATGAATCCAGAAACTAAATGTATTTTATCACTTCAAGGTTCATAGCGGTCATTTCTCGACCACTGTAGCCAAGAATGCAGCTAATCAAGCATGATCTATATTTGATTAGCTGCAGTGGAGAGCAGGGGAGACATTGGGGGTGTAATAGCCTGCATGTGATAGCATGATCGCAATAATGTGAAAGAAAAAAATATATATGTGTGAAAGAAGCACCCCCGTACACACCGCAAATTCAAAACGCACAGTGGAGGGTGAGCATGTATGTCTAAACATAAATTGCACACTACATATGTGAGCTATCATCACAAATATCAGAGTGAGAGCAACAATTCTAATCCACAGTTAAGTTTAAACCGATAACCTGCATTGCAGCATACCACTACGCACTACGTAAATGATGTTACTTTTTTTCATCCATGCCAGTGCAATGGTAACCAATTCAAGTACATGAGCTGCTTTAATACAATGCACATTATAGAGCAACATAAAAGAAAATTATGAGTGTGCATTAATGCAATGCATTAGCATGGAAAGTTTCAGTGAGCCCTAGGGAAGAACCTACCCCTACAATGACAAATTTTAAATAGAGAGTGTAAATATACTTACCAATGCAGCTGTAAAGACCTTGACTTATCCATGCCAATATAGCAAGGGTGATAAGATCCCCAAAACTAGCAGCTATCGGAGTGGCAACATTGTCTGGATTTATCCCAGTTTTCTTTGATCCAACAATTACTCCTACCATGATTATACCTAAAGTGTCAAGGAAAAAAAAATTTTTGATTGTACATCAAGTCTGCTTACTTATGTTTTAAATGATAAGGGGAAAAATATAATACACTGTAATATACATATATTTGCCAACATGACAAGAGAGTTATACATGGGGTCATCTTTACTGACTTGCTTCTGAAAAGAGCTTCAATACCATCTTAAGCCAGCCTCAGATGGATCAAATGGTTACTGCTGAATCACCAGCCGAGATTTGATCCATCTATGGGCAAGCTGGTTGTACCAAAGTCGATCCACTGACTGACTTGGGTACAACCAGCCTGTCAGATGGTTTACATGTGATTACTTCTGGTGGCTACTTTATAGCCACTAGCAGTAATCATCATGTTCTGCTGGCCAGGAAGGATCCCTGTCGGCAGAACACAATAGCTTTGTGGGAGGCATTCAACACAGTAAGTGTTGATGGGGGAATCAGGCAATTTTTTGAAGAAAGAAAATCGAATCATTGCCTTAGTCACTAGTCAGAAAACTCAGAAAAAGTCAAAAAGTCTAATTTACTTATCAGTTCTAGACTAGTGACTCACAGTATTAAAACAAAAGTGTTGGCATGACAGCTGTTTTCTGAATGAGAGGTCAACAATGGCTATGTTTCTCTTCTGTCAAGTTTACTGTGTGACAGGGGCAAAAATGACAGGGTCTCCTGAAAAATATTGCGCACAGCTGTGGTGAATAGAAGGAGCCATTTAATAATGCTCCAGTCTCCCCCAGCAAGGTGTACTCACTGATCCACAGTCCTTCACATCCTCCCTGCTCTATCAAAGTTCTTAGTTCAGGTTCAAACTAGTGTTCTGCGTTCTGGCCGCAGGGAAGGTGTAGGAGTGATATAGGTGCGTTTGACATGCGGTTTTATCTGCTGTTCCATTGACTACTATTAAGGTGCACGTTTTCTGAAAGCACATCAAAAGTCCTGCATTTTGTACCATTGGTGTGCTTTTAGAAGACACAGCAAAAACATGCAACCTAATAGAAGTCAATGAGACATCGGCTAAAAAAACACGTGAAACTCCCCTAAAATGCACATACACCGATGCTACTGACAGCAGAGCATGAAAACCAGCATAGCTAGCTTTATTCTCTTCTATAGTGGTAGTATGCTTACCTTGAAGAAGTGATGCGATAAAAGCAGTTGCTACACTACTAGAACAGAGGAGTATTGCATGGTCCAGACGGTATTTGCCCTCTGGAATCCAGCCTAAAATAACTGCTGCAACAGCAGCCAAAAACCCAACAACCGTTGCTTGTACCTGCAGAGAGAGAGACAAAGTATTACTGAACTGAGAGAACACTCATGAAACAAAATATGCATTCATTATCTACTTATTGTAGTTGTGATTTAATTCTCCAGATAAGATCAAGAATACATGAGTTTCTACTTTACCTGTAATTTATCTAATCCCTACGTTTATGTATTTTATTGTCACTGCAAATTAGCCCCTTTAGGAGTTGCGTTTTGGAATTCCTGACTTTGCCCCTACCACAGCCCTTGCAAAAAACTAAATTAAGGAATTTTACTTGGTCTGCTGCTTCCTATAATAGAACAAAAAAAAAAAAACAAAAAAAAAAATCGAGAATCCATGAAGAGTGAACCTATCATTCAACTACCCTGGCATTCAAATTTTGTCAGGACCCTTTTAGGGCTGGCCACATGTTACAATGTGACTGTATACCTCCGTTCTCTTTAAAAATAACTTTAAAGTGTGAGAGCTTTCCTACACAAACTTTTACAATCTTTTCGGTTTACATCCAATCATGAGGGCCCTCCCAATATCTTTATATTCCACTTGAAAAAGCAATCATTTTGTCAGTAACTTAAAGGAGAGGTATAGCCAAAGCTCTTTTGGCTGTACTTCTCCTGTGGAACGAACTGCACTCCTGTGACCCGTTTTCAGCTGACAGCAGGGTGAAGTCCGCTGTCGGCTGACAGCAGGGTGAAGTCCGCCGTCGGCTGACATCACTCAGCTGGTCCAGGCTGGGGAAAGATTCTGACGTCAATTTCTGGATCCACTCCAGAGTCTGGGGCAGCCTCTCAGTGATCTACTGAGAACCTGAGCCAGCCACTCCCTCCCCCTTCACAGCTCAGCACTCCAGTGAGCGCAGGGGAGCCAGAGCAGACAGTGGCGACTGACAGTCCTGCTCTATGCTCAGAGTGGCTGTGAGAACTCTGATCAGCGGTCATGTGATCACTCATAGAGCCGGCGGGGGACAGATTCAGCATCAGACCAATGCTGCATCCACCTAGGTAAGTATGGTTGGGCTAAAAAGAAAATCCCCCATTTCTCTTTTAATATTAAAAAGTAGGGATGTGTGTAAGAGTGGAAGCATACATCATAAATTAATACCTGTTTTAAAGCCAGATTTCCGATGATCAGATTCCACTTCTCAATAGGGGAATCCATTTTCCCAACATTAACCTGCAATAAATACACATACAAGTGACATTTTTAAGAGATATATTGCTAAAGGATCTAATAATACAAGGCAACACATTTAGTGCTAGTTCTCGGATATCATTTGTCCCTTAGATGGGCAAATCTGGTCTGTCTCCTCCACCTGCATATAAACTAAATACAGTACATGCAACTCAGCTACTAGCTACTGTAGTCAGTGCTGTCAAGAAAAACTGATCTAACTGCCACATTTGCCTGAACTCCTAGTTATTAGTGAGCTAAAACACTTGACCTTTCAGCTGATCTACCATTGTCTGCAGCCTGCATTCTCCACCCACTCCTTTAAAGATTTTACAATAGATCTTCTTGATTTTCATAAAAATACCAATGGCACTTACATAAAAATGCAAGCACCATGCCAGATGACGTCACTCAGCCAGCCCAGGGTCTGGAAAGACCTTGACTTTAAAGTTGGGATACACCTAGGTGCCTGGACAGGCAGCAGGCTCAGCCTCTCAGTGAGAGCCTGAGCTAACTGTTCCTGCCCACTACACAGGGCAGACCTCCATTGAGCGCTGGGGGGCAGAGCAGGGAGCAGGTGACTGATAGTCAACAGCTCTCTGTTCACTGAAGATTGAAAATGTAGTAATCAGGGCAGGGAACAGCTGCAGCTGGGATCGGTGTTGCAGCCATCTAGGCAAGAATAGCAATTTGTTTCTTTTATTCTCATACTTCTCTTTTAATATACCTATAGTGGAGCCGATTTATCTGCCAAAAGATTTGTAGATTTTTATTAATCTATGATTACACAGCCAAACCAGACAGCAGAGCTAGGTTGACGACCCAACAATTTTACAGCAGTTAGGCATTACAAGGTAAGCCCCTTGTCCAGCCTGTTACTGGAAAATAAAGAAGCAGTAGCAAAATTATAGGTGCATCACTCTGCTCTCTCCCTCTGTCAGCATGCTCCTTCTCATAAAGTATACATGCAGCACATCTAATTCAGTACTGCTGCTCTCTCTTGCAGCCCATGTAGATGAACATGGGATTACAAGAGGCTAATATCTCAAAAACACAGCCATGTGCACCAGTTGAATTTAAAAATAAATGTAATAATTTTTAATGTATCCATAACTGCTTAAATTATTAGTCTTTATATCTGCCTGAAGCTGATCTTTAAATGGATCTAATCTAAGCAACATTTATGCACTCCATTTTCTGAAACATAGCTACCTACAACATGTGCCAATCTACAAGCACTGTTCATATTTATTCATCTGCTATCTCTATTCTTTTCCATGAGAAAAGAATGATGGGTCTGGCAGTCTAGAAAATGACCTAAAACAGTCAGCTTTAAAAACCGTTATTACTGAACTGAGCTTAAATAATAAAGGGTATTTTTTTTTTTTTTGTTTTGCTGGTGCATTGCTAATGGCTCCCTTTCCTCGCTGCAGCTGTGCGCAATATTATTGATTATAATATTAGGAACATGCGGTGCCGTTTGTTATGTAATTTCTACAATCAGCCACAAAATGCGATCTATTATTTCAGAATTTTTCTCAGAATCTACTGAGCAGACACATTTTATTTCTGTAACGCTGGACGCATATAATCTTTACAAAGAGAAATGAGTTTGCCAGTATTTGTTACCTGAAGGCAATTATTTTAGCATTGATTTTCCTCATGATATGTTTCTGCCACAAAAACTGCACAAATACTATTTTGTCAGGCTCGTGTTACACGTTCATAACATTGTGTTAGCACAGAGCGGGTTTCAAAGGAGAAGTAGCGGTATGATTAAATTGCAGGCCCCTGAATTTCCATCCTCAATGCTGCCTTTTATAAGCATGACCTTGAGCAAATTAGTTTTCTTTCCCTGAATCAGAGGCTGAAATAACACTAAAAGCTCTTTGAGATTTTATTGTGCCAACATTTTGCTGAACGTGACTCCTGAAATCTGTAGGACCTGTCCTTCTAAGCACATTATACTTGACCAAAATATTATTTATTAAGTAGTCTAGTAGAGTGGGTATTGTGCCTTCTCGGAATGATAAACACAAGATGTAGGTTAAAAAATAGAAAGCAAAAAAAAAAAAAAAAAAAAAAAAAAAAAAAAAAAGACAACATTTTACCATTCCCTTTTTTAAACAAAATTTTAAAAAAGTTTGTGTCAGTGTTTGGCTTGCAGTTGCAGTGTGGCCCCATTGATGTCAATGAACAAGTTAGATGGGCGGTGTCATCTGTCAAACTCTGCAGCCAGAATTAATATTGCAATAATAATGCAGCATGTGTACAGCCTATCAGGCTGTAATGTCAGAGTTTATTGGGTGTTCGGGGGGTAGTAAAATAGCACATCAGCTTTCTGTTTCTATTGCACCCTCCCCTTCCCCATTGGGCACCAGTTAAAGTAACAGCATCAAAGTGGTAGCGCATGCTGGTGCGCTGAAATGCTATCTGTGTTTCACCAGCAAAAGAGAGTATGTGCTTTGAGTTACCTTTACCCACAGTACAAGTAAAGTCCATGTCTGGGGGAGAGCGAGCGAGAGAGAGAGAGAGAGAGACACACACACACACACACAGAGAGATGCGTGTGATCAGAGAAGTGATCACCCAAGGAATGGGTCCCACAACCATCCAAAGAGATGGGGGGTTAACTTTCACTGCCACTGACTACTGATGTAAGGGGGTGAAAGGGTTATATTTTACTGCCACTGCCCGCCAATGTGTAAGTTTGGGGGTGGTGGTGGTGGGGAAATATTACGGACACCACTGCTGGGAGTTGTTGTTGCATCCACTGGCACAATATTAGGGAGCCCACTGACACGGATGTTGAGGGTTTTTATTACACCCCCAACAACAATGCTGGGGGTTATTTCTGCACTCACTGGCACCCGGGTGTTAATATTGCTTCCACTGACACCAATGCTGGGGGTTCTTATTGCACTCACTGACATTTTTGGTGTGTAACATGTTATGAATGGACCGCTCATTGGCTATATGGAGGAATTTATCTGCTATTCTGTCCTGGATAGCTGGTAAGGCCTCCCCTTGCATAGGGCCAAGTCCCAAGATCCATTGCAGCTGGAGCTTAGGATGTAGGCCTCATTCCCTCAGGGGATCCACCTCAACCTGCTGCATCAAAGCTTGGGCCTAAGGAGGAAATCAGCCCCATCTTCCTCCTCTTCCAGGTGTGAATCAGCCTGCAGCACGTGTTGCTCTCCAGCACCACCTGACAGAGAGACTGATGTGAATGGCTCTGTGTTCTGTCACCTGGGGTGCCACTTGACTCTGTAAGCTCTAAATGGGCTTCCTTTCTTCATTCCAGGAAGAGATGCATTTCAGTAAACCTATTGCTTTTCCATGCTAACTTACTTGGCTGTCATCATTATCCTCTGATATCCAGTACATTGAGTCACAGCCCAAATAAGCTTGCAGAGCTGGATGTCTTCATTCTCTCCATACTCAACTATCAGAGAGATAGAAGTTGTGCTTATGATTATGTGTCAACTATTAAATACCTGTAGCTCCCTCGTCACCTCCTTCCACGCTCTCCTCCAGGACGTCTCCAGAGCCTCTCCCATCCTCTGGAACTCCCAACCCCAATATGTCCGGTCAGCCCCCACCCTGTCTGCCTTTAGGCAATCTTTGAAAACTCACTTATTCAGGGAAGCCACCTCCACCTAAGAACTGTACTTGAGCCACTTCCATCAGATCATCGCCTGCAGCTATCACCTCCTCCTTCCTTTACATTGTAAGCTCCACGAGCAGGGCCGTCCTATTCCTTCTGTACTGAAATGTATTGTAATTGTACTGTCTCCCTTATATTGTAAAGCGCTGCGCAAACTGTTTGGCGCTATATAAATCCTGTATAATAATAATCATTGCTAGGGGTTGTCATTTCACGCACTGAAACCAATATTAGGGTTTTTAATTGTATCTACTGACACCAATGAGGGGAAGGTCATTATTGCACCCACTGAAACTAACATTAAGGGTTATTATTGCACCCACTGAAACTAACATTAAGGGTTATTATTGCACTCGCTGGCACCAACGCTGGGGGTTATTGTACTCCAACCTCTTCAGTGTGCATTGCGATACGTTGCACAAAATGCAGCAGGACCAACATTTTTGGGCTTCAGGTCTAATTTGATGCACATCAACACATGAAAATGCGTTGCTATTGTGCAGTCCTCTGAAAGTTGACCATGACTGTCTTAACATGTATTAGGTCATGAGTTAATATGTGTAGCGGTAAAAGAGGTTGTAACGGTAAAAGGTTTTACCTGAATGCATTTCTCTGCTTTAAAGTGGTTCTAAAAGCAGAAGTTTTTTTTTTTTACCTTAATGCATACTTTGCATTAAGGTATGAAACTTTCTGTGTGCAGATTTTCACATTTTTACATTTAAGGCCTCATGCACACCATCCAGCCCTACTGCTGGCAGCCTGTAAATCTCTAGAAGAGACTGAAAGCTGCTGGAGCACAGAGGGATACTAATGTTTGGGGCAGTATGCGCCCAGGAATGAATGCCTGGAACGCAGATTTTTTTGTGTTCCCAAACATTAGTTCCTGGGTGCATACTGTCCTAAACGTTCGTACCACTCATTGCACCATGCAGCCATATACAGCGGCAGCAACTAAACGTACAGTGTGCAAAGGGCTCACAATATTACTATGAATATGTGGAGAAAAGGCGATACTACCCCTGGACTCCGGAGATGCCCCAAAAAGTATCGCACAAAACACTATTGTTAAAAATATAGAAGGTATGTTACCTCCCTCATAATCTTTACTAATACATAATAATAAAAACAATGCAAGTAAAAGAGCGCCTCACAAGAGCAACAGATAATCAAATACAAAAGTTTGATCCTCTAGAGAAGCCGGTGGAAGGGGTACCCAGACATGTAAAATGCCTGATCGCTTTTATATTTACTGCTGCCAGGATATCTATTGCACACTCCTGGCGATCCCCCTTGGTCTCCCTTGATCTTCTGAAGGATAAGCTGACCTGGATAATGGTCAATGAACGTTTGACCGCTATTCTTCAAGACAGGATTGTATATTTTGAAAAAATCTGGGATCCTTGGATGCAGTATCTTTCAGCATCATCCTAGGATGGAGGAGGCATGGGATGTCGATAAACATAAACTGTCTTGCTCCCCACACTCGACTGTTGGTTGGACCCTTCTTCAACAAGCGTCCTTTGTTTCTTCCTGTTTTTTTTCCTTTACTTCCCCTATCTCTATTCTCACTCTTCCGTTTCTATTTTAACTCACCTCCTCTTTCCCTTGCCTGGATTTGAAGATTAACTAACTAACCAAGGGCCAGGAGGGGCATATCCCCCATGTCCTGCTGAACATTTGAGGGTGATTGCCCACTTTATATGGGTCAGGGTGGTCTGAGACACCAGATCTGACATATAGTCTTACATTAGATTTAGGATTTGTTTATTTTTCCTGGTATCTTGTTGTCGCAGATCTTCCATCTACAGGTCCCTCATGGGACCACTTTGGTTACCATCAACAGAAATGTATTTTTTTTATTGAAACATTGTATTTTGATCCTATATTATGTTGTAATATTCCTGAAGCATTGGCTTTTGAGGAATGATTATCTACTGATGAATAGAATCTGACCAAAGTCAATGCTTCAGGACTATCACAATATAATGTAGGATCAAACTTTTGTATATGATTACCTGTTGCTCCTGTGATGAGCTCTTTTACCTGCATTGTTTTAATTATTGTGCATCAAATAAAGATTATGAAGGAGGTAGCATACCTTCTATATTTTAACAATAGCGTTTTGTGCAAAACAACTTGGAGCACCTCAAGAGTCCAGAAGTAGCATCTTCTTTTCTCCACATGTTCTGAGCAATTTTGGATGCGAGGCCCCATTCAGTAATTCGGGGTAGAACCACTATAGGTCTATTTATTCTCCCTACAATATTACTATACCCCAAGGAACCAGTGTGTACCTGGAAAACATCTCTGATTTGGGTATTTATAGGTGAAGCCCAGGTACCAGACTTTATCGTCTCTGTTTAATGTCTTTCTATTGAATCTGAAGATTAAATCCTATCTACACAGCACCACCTATTGGTTGAATCGGAAAAGCACAGCCAATTCACATTACAAGGGAGCCAAGGAATGCAGGATTCCATACATTTTTATATGTCTCACACCTTCCAGCAATAACATGCACAAAAGGAGTAACCACAGAACCATACTGAATTGCTATTAGTAGTTAGTCACATTCAAGTGGACTTTTTCTGTTATATTACTACTTACAGCTATACCATGACCTAGATAAATGAGAGCTTTCACATACATACAGGTATGGTAGCTGTTTGTAGTTTGTTGCATATAAAAAAGGGCCCCAAAAACAGTAACAGCCCATTCAAACCCGTCTGTTGCAGTACATCAGCCAAACCCATCAAATCGCTAAGCTGCTTGTAAATCTGCTATTTTACCTAACAATTATCACTAAAGTATTGCATAGCTGTGCTATCGTTACTTCTTTTTATAAAATATTTATTTCCCCAACTATTAGCTTAATCGTGCCAATGTAGATTTCTCAGGTATGTGTATTTTTGTTAGTATCTAATTTCACCTCTAGCTGCAATGGCAACGACACTTCATAGGATGTAACAAGCAACGCTCAACTCAGTAAGTCAGAAACCAGCAGTATTTTTAGGAAAGATCTTGTAACCACTTGCCCTCCTGAGGATTTACCCCCCTTCCTGACCATTTCTTGCATTACGGCGCTGTGTTACTTTTTGCTTTTTGCTATTAAACATGTCCAGAAAAAAAAAAAAAAATAAAATTTTGTCATCCAGAAAAAATTTAGGCTAAAATGTATTCTGCTACATGTCTTTGCTACAAAAAACCAAAAAAAAAAACAAAAATCAATACGTGTAAATTAATTGGTTTACGTGAAAGTTATAGCGTTTACAAATAGCGGTATAAATACTGGAATTTGTGAAATTTTTTTACTAATAATGGCGGCGATCCCACGAAAGCGGGACTTCAGCGGGCATTCTGACACTGGGGGGAACTAACTTGGTGCCACTGACATCCCCAGTGAAACCAATACAGTGATTAGTGCTAAAAAAAAGCACTGACACTGTACTAAAGGCACTGGGCAGGGAGGGGTTAACACGAGGGTCGAACAAAGGGTTAACTGTGTGCTGGGAGTGTTTTACTGGGGGGTGGTGTGTTGGTGCTTCACTGTAAGGACACTGCTCTGGATGGCTGTGCTGTACCGGGAAATGCAAAATCATGTGTGTGTGTATATACATACATACATACATACATACATATATATACACACACACACACACGTGATTTTGCGCACCCCTGCCACCCTGTAGCAGTATATCTGCTATAGGGCGGCGAGCATGTGGTTATTTAAATTTTTAGATACATATGCTGGGAAAACAACAAAAAAAAGAAAGTCAGTCAGTCATATACAGTTCTCAGCATAAATGAGTACACCCCTTTTGAAAAGTAAGATTTTAAACCAATATCTCAATGAACACAAGAACAATTTCCAAAATTTTGACAAAACAGTTTTATAGAACATTTGTTTAGCTCATTACATGAAAGTAAAAGTTAATATAACTTAGATTACAAAATCTTCAGTTTTACTCAAATTAGTTGGTGCACAAATGAATACATCCCACAACAAAAACTACTCCATCTAGTATTTTGTATGACCTCCATGATGTGTAAGGACAGCACCAAGTCTTCTAGGTATGGAATGAACAAGTTGGCGACATAATGCAACATCTATCTTTTTCCATTCTTCAACAACGACCTCTTTTAGAGCTTGGATGCTGGATGGAGAGAGTGATGCTCAACTTCAGCATGGGCTCTGGCAAATTCTAGGCAGGCTTTTTTGTGCATGGGCTTTAGGAGAGGCTTCCATTGTGGACGACACCCATGCATGCCATTCCTCTGCAGTGTACACCATATTGTGTCACAGGAAACAATCACCCCAGTTTGGCTTTCTACTTCTTTAGCTAACTGCAGTAAATTTGCATGGCGATTTTCTTCAACACTTCAAAGACGTTCTTGTCGAGGTGTTAACTTCCATGGACAGTCTGGATGTCTCTGTGAGATGGTTGCAGTTCCACCTTTGTAAAATTTTTAGATCGATTTTGCTATTATTCTGATTGGTAAAGCTTTACTGATCTTCTTGTAGCCTTCACCTTTCTTGTGTAAGGAAATGATTTTGTGTCTCAGGTCTTGTGACATTTCTCTTCCATGTGGTGCCATTGCTGACAGCAGGAAATGGAAAGAGGTTTTCTTTGTTAAGTAACGCCCATTTATAATCAGCTGTCTGCTGGACATCTATTTAATTAATAATTAGTCTCACCTGTAGCTGAATTCTTGTTTATTAGGATTTTGTTGTCTAAAATATAGCTTTGCTCCTAAGACTTTCATTGGGGTGTATTCATTTTTGTAACATGGTCTCGAATGAATTTGATAGGAAAAATAATTTTTTGTGTGCAAATTAACAAATCTTGTTTGCAATCAATGGCCCGCATTTGTGGGAGTATTTTGTAGTATAGTGTCCCATAGAAAATGTTGATTCTGAAAGTAAAGTAAAGGTTTTCTACAATTTCTGTTGGGGTGTGCTCATTTATGCTAAGCACTGTAAATAGAAAGAACAGCTAATGAGAGAAATAAACTGGATCCATGCATTAAGTCTGGTTCTTACATATACTATTTGCATGCGTTCCCCAACCTCAGGAATGGCATGCTGCTTTTTTTGCAGCATTTTTTGGGTGTGCAAAACGAAATGCATCAAGGAGTCTTGGCCACCCATGGCCCTGCTGCCTGTTCACCGATTATCCTTCCCTGGACCATTTTTGGAAGGACTGGGTACATCTCACAAGAGCTGCAGATTTGGAGATGCTCTGACCCAGTCATTTACCTATTACAATCTGGCCCCTGTCAAAGTTGCTCAAATCCTTCCGTTTGATGTGTTTGAAAGCAGAAAAAATTGGCAACTTCAGAGATAACACGTTCACTTGCTGTCTAATATATCTCACCCACTTTCAGGTGCCACTGTAATGAGATAATCAATGTTATACTTGTCAGTGGTCATAATGGTATGGTTGGAACATTCTTAAAAAAGAAGGAAACCACCGGTTTTTTTTTCATTGGTTTCCAGCAACACCAAAAGTCCCGAAGAGAAAACAACTGTGGTGGATGATTGGTGTAATATATATATATATATATATATATATTAGTATTATTTATTTTAGGAGCATTTAGGAGGTAACAATATTACCATTTGATCAATGTTTAGATATGAAAAAGAAGACCTAACGCAAGTTTTTGCAAACAAATATAGAAGGATATTTACTCACTGCAGTTGAGAGCCTAGAAGCTAGAGTCATTTCCAGGTTTCCTTTAAGACCAAGTAGCGCAGGAACCAAGATAAAAACTTCTGTAAGATTTTTAAACACTTCCCAATGCTGTAGAAAGAAAAGACAAAATAACAATTGGACACAAATTTTCTGTTTTTGCTCTCATATGCTGGCATAGAATACCTATTTTACCCACCACTAACATCTTCTGCAACATAGGATTTTAAGCATTACTGCTGCAAGTTATTACAAGCATAAATGCATGCAGATGAGACATCAGCTGTCTGTGTAGGTAGAACACACAAGTCCTGTCTTCCCACTCACTGTCTGTTTCCCCCTTTATATGGAGATTACAATACCAGTATTAGAGCACCAGCTGAAATATGGCAGGACAGCACATGGTCATCATTAGTAACTAATACAGTTTTTACAAATAATAGAAATTCCAAGCAAAGCATAGTAACCAATTGAAATTTAAAACCTTTTAAGTAATATCCAGGCATGGGTTTTTAGGATTCCTGAACACAGAAACAGGGGCGAACTGACCATTTGGAAACTCGGACACTGCCCGAGGGCCCGGAGTCAGTAGTGGGCCCCATGAGTTGTCAGTCCGCAGGGACACAATTGTCAGTTTGGGCAGGGACACAGGAGCCCCATGATCCCCATGAGTTGTCAGTCCGCCCCTGCACAGAAAGCACAAAGCCTCTTGCATCAGATGACTAGAACAGCACCCTCCTCCATTCCTAGCAGGATTCACCTATCCATACATGCAGTAACCGAGGAGCTAGCTGTTCAGATAATCTGGTGCCACCCACACAACCTCATGCTCCATTTTCCACCTGATGACACATCGATCATGCTTACATCAGTGACTACCCTTTAAGGCCCTTGTGCCCAACCTGTGGCCCCTTGGTATATGATGTGCAACCCTTGGACCTCAGCAGTCTGTAGTGGGAACGTTAATTAGGTAATAGCATCAATCTCTACAAGTTTCATATGCCATGTTTCCAGTTTTATATTGTCTTCTGCAGCATATCCCCAGCCAAAAGTGTAGCATGTCCACATTCTCTGACCCTCATTTCCTCTACTAGGTATTACATATATTAAACATTATGTGTGGCCCTTTGGTGATATCTGGGGCAGCATTTGAGTTCCTCTTATGCTAATAAGCAGACAAACACTGCTATAAGGTCTAGGGGCAGCCTTATTTATGAATAATCTTTTTATTTAGTATGCAAGCTTCAAGTGAAACATTTGAAAGCATGATCCTTATTCATCCTGCATTAAAAGGCCTAGAATGTCTTAAAGAATATGTAAACTCAACATTTCATATTTCTGATATGTGCCTGCTGTATCATGTACTTGTATAAAAAAGTATCTTGTTCTCTGTGTGAAATTCCCGGTGTTCCTGACAGTCCCTCTGCTTTCCTGTTAAAAAATGACCACACTAAGCAGGAAAGCACAGTGTGGTCAGTTCTCTAGCTATGCTGAGAACTCAAGACACTCTCCTCCAATGATCAAACTGGTCCTGACAACCCCTTCGGGCACACATCCATTCACTGGGAAGATCAGTGTAATGCAGTTTCTCCTCCATCAGCTCCTGCTGCAGCTGAGAACAGAGGGAATGTGAACACTTACGGGAAAAAAAGAAAAAAAAAAAAAAAGGGAAAACAAGGTATATAATGTGTTTCAAATCTATATACACAAATGTGTTGATTTTCATTTCTATTTTAAATTGAATGGGTTGCTTTGCAAGGTGAGGGTTTACAATCACTTTAAAGTTGAACTACACTGCATCTGAGCAGTAAAAAACAAAAACACCATTTAATTTTTAATATTCAAAGCAAACTCCCCTATCCATTCATGTCTCCATGCTTTATTTTGCTGAGAAATCACTTTTAAAAACACCCCTCTAGCATTTCTGGCCTCAGCCATCTTAAGTAAGGGCAGATTAGTTTACTTCATGGAATCCATCTGCCCTTAGCTCTGGATTGCAGACAGGAAGGTTTACTTAAGCCTCTCCTCCCCTCCTGAAATGTATGACATCATCATTTGCCTAGGCATGGAAACCAGGAAATACCTGAAGAAATGTTAAAAAAAAAAAAAAAAAAAAGTTTAAAACAAGCAAATATAATATACCTTCCTATTTATTTGCTAATATTAGCAGCATGATTAAACATAGTTAATGCTGATTGACAGAATGAAGTTCCACTTTAATTACAAGATGCCTTTATTTTAAACCCTTAGAAACACATGTTTTCTACACAGAAAACAAGATAGTTGACCTAGAATTAGTCTGGCCAATAGAAAGATGCTCACCATCTAATCTATTTCATTCCAGAATATTTTTTTGCCTGATTATACATAACATCTTTATATATAAAAATATGTGGTGCTGTTTAGGCCACCTTTTCCTTGCCACAATAATACAACTAATTCTTCTAATGTGAACTTGAACCTTGTCCATACTAGCCAGAATAGCTGGCTAGTATGGACAAGCCTGACTAGCTGGTTTGCTGCATTAACAACAGCCACTTGCTTTCTATGTGCTTTCCCACAGCCAGACCGGCTAAGAGTTAAAAATCGAGATATGCTAAGTGTCCAGTAGGCTTTTCCCTGCCTCTCTATGATATTAGTTGACTCTGGTGACTAGCATCCATCATCAAGTCCTATATAGTGGTGTTGGAGAGCGGGGACAAGGGCATCGCATGTATCCTGAGTAAAGGGCATTTTGTAGGGCTCCGATGATGGAATGGGATAGAAGTGTAACACAGGAATGGTAAGAACAGGCATCTTTTCACTGATAATGGTTAACAACAGTGTTTGTTCAAATCCCTCTCCACTATCCAAATTGTTTTTTTTTCTTATAAAGTTTAGTCTCTAGTTATAGTTCAAACATTTTTTTTTAGCTTGAACATAAGGAAGCTGACACCTCCTTCCAGATCATGGCAGTTTTGCATATTAGTGTAGACCATACACTTATTTTATAAGACTTATGATAACATTGCTATTCTGTGTACATCATTTAATTTTTGTAGTTTGTTGTATTTAATATTTTATTTATGTAATTTAAGATATTTTATCAATTGTATATGGTTTGCTGTCAAATAATAAAAATATCGGTATAAGATCGTACACCTGATTTCGGACTGGCATCCAGGACACTTTCTGTCTTGAATGCTAGCATAAAGAAAACATATTGCCCAAGATTACTAAACAGAAATGAAGGTATGTTGGAATATACATTGGGTATAGAAAAGAATCACCCCCACCCCCCCTAAAATAGTCACATTTGATGATTCGATGAAAGACAGACACACACAGTTTTTGTGTTATCCAGCTATTTACTCTGTACAACTTATAACATCCAAGTGAAAGATATAACACCAATATGTTAGAAATTAAAAAAATCAAGAACAGAATCATTGAGTTGGAAAAAGGTTCACCCCCTTGTGTCAGTATTTTGTGGAACCACCTTTTGCTTTAACTACAACTTTTGGTCTGTTGGGATATGCCTCTTCTAACTTTGCACATTTAGAATTTAGACTTTGCAATATTTGCCCACTCTTCTTTGCAGAACTGCTCAAGTTCAGTTAAATTTGATGGTGACTGTTTGTGAACTGCAATCTTCAAGTCATTCCACAGATTTTCAATGGGGTTTAGGTCCGGGTTCTGACAAGGCCATGCAAGGACATTCACCGTTTCTCCCTTCAACCACTGTGTGGTCATTCTTGCTGTGTGCTTTGGGTCATTGTCATGTTGGAAGGTAAACCTTCTTCCTATTGACGATTTCTGACAGAGTGCAGCAGATTTTCCTCAAGAATTTGACGGTATTTTGCCCCATCTATTTATCCTTTTATCCTGACGGTATTTTGCCCCATCTATTTATCCTTTTATCCTGACAAGTGCTCTAGTCCCTTCTGCAGAGAAACATCCCCATAACAGGATATCACCACCTCCATGCTGGATTTCCACCAGACATATCATTTAGTGTTGAGGCCAAATAATTTAATTTTATTTTCATCTGACCATAACACCTTTTTCCATGTGGCCTCAGAATCTTCAAGGTGCATTTTAGCAAAGCTCAGTCATGACTGCATGTGGCCTTTCTTGTGGAGTGGCTCTTTTCTTGTAATCTTCCCATACAAGCCACATTTGTGGAGAATTTGTGATACGGTTGTCACATGTACACAATGACTACTCTTAGTCATAAATTCCAGCAACTGCTTCAGAGTTGCTGTAGGCCTCTTGGTAGCCTCTCTGACCAGTTTCCTCCTGACTCTTTCATCCAGTTTGGAGTGACGTCCTGATCAAGGGAGGGTTTGTGTTGTATCAAATACCTTCCACTTCTTAATAATAGACTTCACTGTGCTTCTAGGCATTGATCAAGCCTTTGACTTTGTCTTTACATTCATCTCCTGACTTATGCCTGTCCACAATTTTCTCCCAGAGATCTATTGGCAGCGCCTTGACACCTATAGTTGATTGTTTGCTTCACTTACACTACCAGGGACTGAAATGATCCAGGAAAGCTATTTTCCTGCTAAGCTAATCAAAATGAGCACAGCTGATTACAGTTGAAAGTCAAATGGCTTTGTGTGCCATTGAGAAAGTGACTCAATGATTCTGTTTTTGAATATTGAATTTCTTTTTTCCTGACATGTTGGTGTTATATCTTTCAAATACTGTGTCTGCAAAGCAACAAAATGTAATTATTTTAAAAGGGAGTGGATTATTTTCTATACCCACTGTATAACTCGCTAATATCCTACCTTAAAATGGAACACTAACAAAACCATTTTTGTAGATTTGGATAGCATGGGGAAGGGTGTGATGGTCAGATGTTTACGGCTATCTGTACCCCTGTTGGGAACATGCAGATGCAGTTTCAGAGCCACAAGGACACAATTGTTGCCTTGATAAAAGACTCCTCATGTGGCTGCAAAATATCACATCTGCATCTATAGTTTGTGACTATTAATGTTCATTGTTTACACAATATGAATTGTGGGGCCCTTACATACCTCTACCCAATGACTTGAGCTAAGGATTGGACAACCAAAAGCTGCCCTGTCTCTGTGATCTGACGCTTTCCCCTCACCCTAGGTCATCCCTGGTATCCTGCTGGGCTGCCCAGGGTTGGAGAATCTTTTTCTGCCAATATAGGATATTTCCTCCTGCTCAAGTTGGCTTTACCTCTTGAACCACTTCTTTCTTGCCACCACGCTACCCCAAGCCTGTCGAACCCAGTCTGACCTCAAAGTTCTTGCATTGAGTGTGAAGGGCTTGAACATCCCCAAAAAGTGCAGAGTGATCTTAACAGACCTCCATTAGGTGCAAAGTTCAACTTTTCTCCAAAAAACACATTTCATATGCAATTAACAGCCTAGTCTTTGTGACCACTGTTAACCTGTGTCTTTCCACACCTATTCACTGGATAACAGATCAAGAGGGGTTTGTATTTTGCTGGCCAACTCTGTCTACTTGCACCCTCTGGCTAAACACAGGAACAATGAAGGGCGTTGCTTTTTTTTTTTAATGACAGATCAAATCAATATGCACATAGTGAAGCTTCCTACCATCTAAGCAACCCATAACCAGATTACATTCCTTAAATTTGCATTAGACATCCTGAATTGTAAGGGACAGTACATAAGTTTTCTGTCACATCAGCACCCACTGTATTGAGTGTGCCACTTATGACCAATTCTCCAAAGTTGATGACATGGCAGGGAATGGGGAGAAATTTACCTATTATTTATTTAGAGTCTATTGTGTCTGGGTCATTCTTGAGGAAACTCAGTCTATGGTCTCAGCACCCTTGTTTATATAATGAGCTCTTTATGCACTGCTGTTGTGATTCAAATGTGCATTAGCTTATTTTTTCATTTTACTAATTTAATGTCATGAACGTGAGCAAGGGATGAAAAATATCTCCAACAATGGCGCATGTAGTGATGCTGCATTTTTTTTTTTTTCGTTTTATACATAGAATAGGGCAAAGCTTAGGTAGGGAAAGTAGGGAGACAAATTGGACCACTATTTAAAATGTTAATAATTAAATACTTAAAAGGCTAATAGCAGGTCACAGGAGTGCAGAACAAAGTACACTCCTGTGATCCATAGGGGAAGTAGGACAATACTTCTCCTTTAACTACTGGTTAGTAAGATTTCACAAACCAGCAGCTATTAAAAACAATGAAACGTATGCAACTTTTGGTGGATAGCAGCTCTCCATATTCTTGAAATGCAGCAGGAAATACGTCTCTCGTTGTAATTTGTGAGAGGTTTGGCTTAAGCTATAAGGTCTTCACTATCCCAAAAAAATGTGAGGAACTACACCACAGTGAGTGACAGAAAGAAGCCAGATTCCTGCTGTGACTGGCATCCTCAACAATTAGACCTCATGCACACAGGGTATTTTTGCACTCACTGTTAGGGGCATCAGGCTGGGTTTTTTTTTTTTTTACAATTTTCCAAATGCCTCTCCATATTATCCTATGTGTCCATGCACACATAGACTTTTAGTAGCAGGGGATTTTAGAAGCTGTAAAAAAAAAAAAAAAAAAAAAAAAAAAAAAAACACAACCCCACTGCCAGTGCATCCAGGAGCAGCAGCGTTTGGACAGAAAAGGTATTTGAAGCATCTAGATGCATACATACAGTGGGGCAAAAAAGTATTTAGTCAGCCACCAATTGTGCAAGTTCTCCCACTTTAAAAAGATGAGAGGGGCCTGTAATTGGCATCATAGGTAGACCTCAACTATGAGAAACAAAATCTAGACAGACAATCACATTGGCTGATTTGGAAAGAATTTATTTGCAAACTATGGTGGAAAATAAGTATTTGGTCACCTACAAACAAGCAAGATTTCTGGCTCTCACAGACCTGTACCTTCTTCTTTAAGAGGCTCCTCTGTCCTGCACTCATTACCTGTATCAATGGCACCTGTTTGAACTTGTTATCAGTATAAAAGACACCTGTCCACAACCTCAAACAGTCACACTCCAAACTCCACTATATTTCGACAGCTCCACTAAAGAGCTGTCGAAAGACACCAGAAACAAATTTGTAGACCTGCACCAGGCTGGGAAGACTGAATCTGCGATAGGCAAGCAGCTTGGTGTGAACAAATCAACTGTGGGAGCAATAATTAGAAAATGGGAGACATAAAAGACCACTGATAATCTCCCTCAATCTGGGGCTCCACGCAAGATCTCACCCCGTGGGGTCAAAATGATCACAAGAATGGTGAGCAAAAATCCCAGGACCACACGAGGGGACCTAGTGAATGACCTGCAGAGAGCTGGGACCAACGTAACAAAGGCTACTATCAGTAACACACTACGCTACCAGGGACTCAGATCCTGCAGTGCCAGACGTGTCCCCCGCTTAAGCCAGTACATGTCCAGGCCCATCTGAAGTTTGCTAGAGAACATTTGGATGATCCAGAAGAGGATTGGGAGAATGTCATATGGTCAGATGATAGAACTGCTTGGCAGAAACACAACTCGTCGTGTTTGGAGGAGAGAGAATGCCAAGTTGCATCCAAAGAACACCATACCTACTGTGAAGCATGGGGGTGGCAACATCATGCTTTGGGGCTGCTTCTCCGCAAAGGGACAAGGACGACTGATCCATGTACAGGACAGAATGAATGGGGTCATGTATCATGAGATTTTGAGTGCAAACCTCCTTCCATCAGCAAGGGCATTGAAGATGAAACGTGGCTGGGTCTTCCAACATGACAATGATCTCAAACATACCGCCCGGGCAACGAAGGAGTGGCTTCGTAAGAAGAAGTTCAAGATCCTGGAGTGGCCTAGCCAGTCTCCAGATCTCAACCCCATAGAAAACCTTTGGAGGGAGTTGAAAGTCCGTGTTGCCCAGCGACAGCCCCAAAACATCACTGCTCTAGAGGAGATCTGCATGGAGGAATGGGCCAACATACCAGCAACAGTGTGTACCAACCTTGTGAAGACTTACAGGAAACGTTTCACCTCTGTCATTGCCAACAAAGGATTTATAACAAAGTATTGAGATGAACTTTTGATATTGACCAAATACTTATTTTCCACCATAATGTGCAAATAATTTCTTTCCAAATCAGCCAATGTGATTGTCTGGATTTTTTTTCTCATTTTGTCTCTCATAGTTGAGGTCTACCTATGATGCCAATTACAGGCCTCTCTCATCTCAAGTGGGAGAACTTGCACAATTGGTGGCTGACTAAATACTTTTTGCCCCACTGTATATAGGTCTAAATGCTCCTAAATACATGTTAGCGCTAGGCGCGTTTAGCGCTTGAGTGTTAATTCATTTTAATGGCCAGAATAAATCAGTCTGGCTAATTAAATTAACGTCCAAGTGCTTGACACTTTTACAAGCACCAGGCATTTTTTCTGCAAAAATGCTGCTGCCAAGAGGAGGAGCGTTTTAAAAATGGCCTTAGTGCCTATTGGATACATAAATGTACTGTTTCATGAATGCTTATAAAAGACATCCCCAAGAATAGTGTCATGGAAAAGCTGAAGTCACTTTCCTATTGATGTGTCTTGTCTTTAGCACGCTACACCTTTGCATACACCTTTGGTATTTGCATGCTTCACCTTTCTGCTTCTGATTGCTGAAAGCACGTTTTATTTTCCGAAGCTAGATCGTCACGTTCTAAAGAAGCACTGATTATAGTAACCTGACACCATCCCCAGCACCTGAGGCAAGGAAATGCCAAAAAAGCTAGAAATTCAAAACTAAAGAAATATCTAGCTACTATAATAGGTTGCTTATTTTTTTCAAGAGTTTTTATACCTTAGAGGGCTAAAATGTTAATGCCTGTGTTATGAACTTTAAAAAAAAAAAAAAGCAGAATTCCAGGCTAAATTCAACTAGTCTTAAAAATGCTCCCTCCCCTCTCCTAACACCTAGGGCGACTAACTTGTGTAAGAAAGATGTACATACTTACCTATTTTTATCCCGCTCTAGTCCAGTGACGTGATCTGGTTTCCATGTCAGTCAGCAGCAGTGGCTGCAGGGAGAGGAGGGATTCCCAACACTGGATTGTCCATAGGAACCTATAGGTAATGTCAGAGCTCCAGGCTGTACAAGCTGCTGTCAAGTGCTCTCTCTCATCTCCCTACAGTTACCACTGTACACAGGGAATCATGTAAACAGACCAGAGCAAGACGAAAAATTAGTATATACCTCTTTCTTACACAGGTTAGTTAGCATGGGTGTTAGGAAGGAAAATTTTTAAGACTAGTTAGGTGTAGTCCGGAATTCTACACATTTCTTCACAATGCTGAAAAGATACAAAGATGGACAAGGGCTATTACTGAAATATTTCAAAATGGACCGCGCTAAGGTCACAGATTGACTAAATAAAATGTGCAATCTTTGAAGTGATAACAATGAGCAAAATTCAAATATAATGTTAATATTCAGTCCCAACATGTGAATAATTGCTGCAACGGTGCTGTATCTTTAACAGTGATACTCCATGCTGAGATGACAAGTGCTTCACTGTGTTCACAATGGTGCCCCACATAGATGTAAACTCACCGTCATTTCATGACCACCTATCTCTAGGTAAGTCACACTCGCTTTTGGGACTATCCCAGTATGCAATCTGGTCCAGCACCGTTGCACCAATTATTTGGATGTTGGGACTGAATATTAACATTGTATTTGAATTTTGCTCATTGTTATCACTTCAAAGATTGCACATTTTATTTAGTCGATCTGTGACCTTAGCGCGGTCCATTTTTGAAATATTTAAGATTTTGTGTATAGTAATTCACAATTAGGACTGCTGCTATATAGGTATCTTATATATAGTTTAATTCTTTTATATATATGTAATTTATTTTTTTCCCCAAGCACAACAGCACCCGTTTTCTTTCAATATAAGGGCTATTACTGCTTGTTCAGAATATGTAAAATACTTTAGTATGCATGATCTGGGTGCAGGTTCACTATAAAGATGAATTTCAATTGGTTGCTATGGATTACTGAACTTTTATATTGCTCCATGTAAAAAAAAAAAAATATTGAAACAGACCTGTACAACGTCCAGAACCATTCCGGCAGACACAGTTCCAAAGCCTGCTAACAAGAATGGCACAAGTATCTGAAGTGCCATGGCAAAACTAGATTCTTTTGGCAACTTTTTTCTGCCCTCCACCAGGGAATCTGTATCCTCATCCCCAGATGCCCGGCTGTCCTGCAGCATAGCATCTGTTTCTGATACTTCCCTTCCATCACAATAATCATAACTGTCAAAGTCATAACTTGTACTGCATATATTTGAGCAGTGCGGGCCATTTCCAAGGTAGTTCGGCTCAGAAAAATGGTGGTATTCCAAGTGTTGATCCGCTCGGATGTTAAAGCCATGTCCAGTGGGTGACAATCCATTGATTTTCTTCAGTCTTTCTTCCTGGCCCTTGTGGCACGCTAGAGGAACCATGCTCAGCAGAAGAGTGAGGAATTTCTCAGACTGAACTGCATTCACGTTAACATTACAGTTTAATGGCTCATCTTTCATAAATATTAAAAATGGTCCCCCATGGTGGTTACTCATCATGCAGCAGCTGCTCCTTCAGGAATGGTTTAATACTGTTCACGTAGCCCCTGAACAAGAAAAAAAAAAAAAATCAATCAATATAGGAGAAGAAAACGCATACATAAAACCAGAAAAAAAATATGAGGCAATTCAGTGGTATTTGAAAATTGCATTTTGCAAGGGAAACCTGTACTGAGAGAATAAGGATGCTGCCATTGATGACCTTCGAAAAAGGACCAATGGCTTCAATACATTTTGAGGTACTGATCTGCAAATGAATGCAGATCAAGAGTTATGAATCCATTTATAACTTCTAACCTGCATGCTTTTCCAGATTAAAGACTCAACATATAGAACCATATACAGCCAGACAACTAGTATCCTCCATGTTTCAGTCAGTACAGGTCTCCACTGTTGTTGGGAAAAACAACATTCCCCCTGGGTGATCTATGTACATTGCAAGGATATCAAACTTTGTTGCAGATTCCTTTTGTTAACCTGAAGGAATATCTGGCGGTTTGTCTGTGTCCATGTGCAGAGCAAATCTGTATGGGAGTGGTTTTATAAACATCAATCAGCTGCACTTCCTTAAAGAGGAAAGTGGCAGGGTCTGCCTCCCTTTAAATGTGATTTTCCTTTGGGAATGACCTTTTTGCTGCAGGGAATGCCCAAAATCTGACTTATATCTTTAGTGCAGACTTCTGAAAAAATAAGCAAGCCAAGCAGGAAATTACATTTCTGGGAGGAGTTCTGTAGACCATCTGTATACAGAACGCCTCCAGGTTGCCATATTGCATTTTACAGAAAACTAATTACAATGGCCCTTTGCTTGACTTTATCTGGCCCTTGAGGCATATTTTATTGCTACTGACACCATAAATGGGGCATAATTCCTGCCATTGACACCAACAATGGGGCACTATTCCTTCTACTGACACCAACTATTTCTCCCCTAATTTCAAAGTTTAGGCACTGTTTACTCCCACTGAGCACAGTCCAGCCCCCCCTCCCCCCTAAAGTCTGAAGGACAGTAAGATGGCCCTTTTAGAAAGTTTGGAGAACCCTAAATTACAATATGACTTGTATATTTTATTTAGTTATATATTTATTTTTTTTGCATTTTTTTTTCCATGAAAGTGGAGATACCCTTTAAGATTTAACTGAATGACATTTTTTTTATATCCTGGTACAACTGAAACCCTCCAGCCATTTTCATATACTTCCTTTGTGATGAAGAAAAAAACCCCAAAAAAAAAAAACCACCTAGCTTAAAAGATAAGTTCACCTTTGGTTCCACCTGTTTTTAGGGTGGAATATATAGGATGTTCCCACCACTGTAGCAGTTGCCCAATCCCCCCCTCTCTGTGACAGAAGTAAAGGGAATATTTCCCCATACTAGCTGTCAGATTTCAAAAGTGGCGAGGCCATGCAGGTCTCTGTGAATGAATGACGGAACGCGGCTGTGTGAACAGAGTTCTGTGAATGAATGAACTACTTCAGCCTTTTCCGGCGGTCGGCCTGTAGTTCTCTAAGAACTACCAAGGCGCTGCTGAGCTCGCTGGTAGTTCATTGAGCCTTCCTGTCAGAATGTATCTGTTTACCCGTACGGGATATACTGGCACACAGATACACTGACACATTGCAGGAGCCTGCATGGCATCAGTAATCTGCTGATCGTAGGTGAAATGCTTTCCAGGCTCAAAAATAAATAAATCAATAAATAGTAAATGTAAATTTTTTTTACCTGCAAAAAATTTATTTATTATTTATTTTTTTTGTGAACTTATCCTTGCCATTTAATGAGATATTTGTTGAAGATCCATTTATATCCTATCTGTACGCACTTGATAATTAAATTAACATTTAAGCTTTTGGGTTTAGGTCTACATCTTTCATAATCAATCTGCCATACAGACGATAGTCTATCAAAAACATGTAGCATGTCCACTTCAACAATGCGTTCTAATTATATAGTCCTGTAGACCCTCACTCCACAAAGTCATAGATATTTTTTTTTTTTTTTTTTTTGCTTAACCGACAGATCAAATATGCAATAAAAGCAAGCTGTGAAGCCAGCAATCAAACTGCAGCAGAAAACAGATGATTTCATCAAACTTGCAATGCTTGAATACACTTTAAGGCCTATTCAATAAGAGAGTTCAAGAAGCAGTGAGCCATCCAGTACAGTTATAGTAATCGTATGTCATCTGTAAGCAGACAATGTATATGGTTACCCAATGGTAGAAAGCGGAACGCTTCCCTTTGCTGCTATTTGAAGTGGTAAAAGATGAATTGCCTGACTATAGGAAGGTCAGCAGTGATAATGGAAACCTCTTCTTTCAGGCAACACGTAATACAGGCAGTCTTGGCCAAAAACGAATGTGGTCAGAAAGCAAGATAAAAATTTCGAAGATAGATTGAGAATTGTGCATTGCTTCAGCACAGAAAGTATTAATACTCACAAGAGAACATTGTCCCGAGTCTGAATTGACCTAAAAATAATACTTAACCGGTAAAACCAGGAAAAGCGAGAACATTTTTCAACACCTTACCTGCACAACCAGGAAAAAGTGTGAACATTTTTCAACACCTTACTTGTATAACCAGGAAAATTGTGAACATTTTTCAACACCAAGATAAGTATGATCACAATCACACAAATTCTCAAACGTTCAGCATACCAAAAATGTACAAATATATTATCTACTCAGAAAGAAGAGTTAATAGAAAGGCAACAGAATATAGAAAATCACAGGTAAAGCCACCTACCTAGAAGAGCAGATACATATTCCAGTTATTTTTCCACAATCCTCCAGATACAAACACACAAGCTTGAAATAGACAAGAAATCTCATACTCTATATGTACAGTGATAAGTCATTGGAAATCAACAGCATTTAACCCTTGCACTTTACAGATGACACAGACACATTTTCCCTATAGCCTGCAATATAAGACATTTTTACAGTTATCAATTTGTAAGAAACTCATCATAGCATCATAAAACATTTTCCAAAGTCCAACACAATGTTTACAGCTTTATATTCTACTTTCTGGTGAACCATTACTATGGGCACCCAACCATCAAAGCAAGGATGAACAACCTTTGGCATTCTGTACTACTTTGGGGAAGTGATCTATATTTTTTTTTTTTACATAATTTGCTTACAGCAAAGAATTACTTTGCTATAAGCAAGCATTTACCTGAATGAAATCGATTCATTCAGGATTTTTTTTTTTCTTAACTGTGATTTGGCCACAGCTAATCACATGACACAGCTAGACTGTGATTGGCCCAGCTTGTGCATGTGATCGCTGTGACCATTCACAGCTAGCCACACTTGTATACAATGGATGGCATGATAGGAAGCCATCCATTGTATACAACTGTCATGTGACCTGCTGCGATTGGTCACAGCAGGTCACATGGTACTGGCAACGGGGCCAGTACACAGATCTGTCATCGGCCGTGTCCGAGGTACACGGCCAGTGACAGATCGTGCCGATGCGCGGCTCTGCTGGCATGCAAACTGCGCATGCCTGAAAGGATGCCATATGGCATCCACCCAGAGGGATGAGGGTTTTTGCCGGCCGCCATTCGGCCATAGGCCGGGCGGGAACCGGTTAAATCAGGTCACCTGTCAAACACACTTGGACTGCTTTTCAGAGGCGCAGCACTGCCTGCTGCACTTGTGAATGAGCCCTTAGTTGCATTTGGCAGCGGCACCCTTAGGGCTTGTACACACGTAAAGTTGGGGAGCACTCCCAATCCCTACCCCCTTTAGCTACTGAAGCAGCAGCCAAAAGGTGTACAAATGCCGCAGCAGGAATTAAACCCCCTATTGCTATTCGTGGATGCTACCACCTGCCAAATTATTATTATTATTATTATTATTATTATTACATCGAGTTTATATAGCGCCAAAGGGTTTGCTCAGCGCTGTACAATAGGGGGGACAATACATGGCACAGTACAACAAAAACAGACAGCGTACGAGGGGTAAGAGGGCCCTACTCTTTCAAGCTTACAATCTAGGAGGGAGGGGGCAGTGGAACAATAGGAAGTGGCTGAGGGGGATGAAGTGGCTGAGGGGGATGAAGTGGTGGGAGGAATGAGGGAGAATGGCCGTTAGGTGAGGGTGGGGTAGGCTTCCCTGAAGAGATGGGTTTTGAGGGAGCGCCTGAATGTGGGGAGGGAAGGCGACAGTCGGATGGATTGGGGCAGTGAGTTCCAGAGGATAGGGGAGGACCTGGAGAAGTCTTGCAGGCGTGCATGGGAGGAGGAGACCAGGGAGCAGGATAGAAGGAGGTCCTCTGAGGAGCGAAGGGTACGGGTAGGGTGGTACTTGGGGATCAGGTTGGTGAGGTAGTCAGGGGCAGTGTTATGAACGGCTTTGTAGGTCAGGATTAGAAGTTTAAATTTGATGCGTTGGGCAATCGGGAGCCAGTGGAGGGTAGGCCAGTGAGAAGAGAGTTGCAATAGTCAAGGCGTGAGATGATGGAGTGTACAAGAAGTTTTTGGTGGTGTCTGGGGTGAGGAAGGCACGTATCTTGGCAATATTGCGGAGATGGAGCCTGCAGGTGTTTGTAAGTGATTTGACATGAGGCAGGAAGGAGAGGTTCGAGTCAAGAATGACACCAAGGACTTTGGCTTGCGGGGCGGGAATGATAGTGGTGTTGGTGGTGGTGATGGATAGGATGGGGGGGTGTGGGCAGGGGGAAAGATGAGGAGTTCGGTTTTGGAGAGGTTAAGCTTGAGGAAATGGAGCGACATCCAGTCTGAGATGTCGTTTAGGAGGTGAGTGATGCGGGCGGAGATAGTGGGGGTGAGGAGAGGGGTGGAGAGGTAAATTTGGGTGTCGTCAGCATAGAGGTGATAATTGAAGCCATGGGAGTGTATGAGTGTGCCCAGGGAGGAGGTGTAGATGGAGAAGAGAAGGGGTCCAAGGACAGAGCCTTGAGGGACCCCAACAGAGAGGGGGAGGGAGGGGGAGGTGGCGCCATTGTAGGTGACGCTGAAG